GAGAAAATTTTAGGTAAACTCTTCCGAAACTGTGCGGAGAGCAACAACGCGCCGAAGGAGGAGAGGGGATTCGTTTTCGAAGTTGCTCGTTGCAAGAAGAGCAGAACAGTAGAATGGGAGGGGGGATACCCAGGATCGATGATCGGGAGGACCGCGATTGTTCCTCCGCGTGGATTCTTTTCATACGATACAATGCCCCAATGTGATGGGGAATAAAGAATATTTCCAAAGAGCTGGCCTTTCCCTCGTTAAAACCAAGTTTTTGCTTCGGTTGACAATTAATATAAGACGATAAAAGACGATGGGATCGAGAGAGAATCGCGTCTTCGGTTGAAAAGAAGGAAGGAAGGAAGGAAGGGGAATGGAGCGTGGGACGAGGTAAAAAAGGGAGTGGGGGAAGGTGGCGAAGGTGGCGCCACTATTAACGAGCCATCGAGGCGGCCAAGAGGCGCGATTAATTTCCCACGGCTTCTCGCGTTACGTTCAATTAACATAATCCGCCCGCGGGAGGGAAGATCGAACACCGCCCTCCTGAAACCATCTCTCTCTCACTCTCTCTCTTTATTAAAATTATAAAAACAAAGGAAAAAAGAGATTTAATTTAAAAACGGATCTTTCAATAAAAAATACTTTCGAACGATCTTTCGAATAGAACGCTAATATTTACATTTCAATTAGGGAGAGATGAATTTTTTTCGTGCATCGTCGTGAAAGTGCGAGGGTATATGTACCGTGAAGGATTCATTTCCAGAGCGTGTCTGGGGGGAAAAAAAAGAGGGGAGGGGGGAAAAGAAGAAAGGAGGAGAAAAGGAAAAGAAGAAACGACGACGACAACAGCAGCAGCAGCAACAAAGCGGACGAAGGCTCGCGCAGTTTCAATGGAAGTTGGAGCGCGAGCCGTGAAAGGCAAATGCGCTCGACGAGCGGCCACGAGAGGGAAAGGGGAGAAGAAGGCAGGCATCTTTCTCCTTTCCACCGATCGGCCCCGACCGTTTCGCCTAGAACGAACTAGTTCCGCTCTCGTACGTACACCGAGTCCTACATACACCGATGCGGCGAGGGCCGTGTGTCGCACGCGTGAACGAAACCGGTCCCACCTACGCGAGGCGAGGGTTGCTCGCAAGGAGGCCGGATCTGCCGGACGCGGATAGAGACCGAAAATATTCTAATTAACCGAAATCCATAGAGGCGATCGAACAACCCTCTTCGACTTCTTAAATGTCCTCTTTCTCTCTCTCTCTCATCTGCTTCGATCACTGTCAACCGCGTTGAAATCTCGAGGAGGGGAGCTTCCTCTAAATCCCGAATATATCGTGGAATACGGTGATTAACGGAAATCGATGACACGCTCTCTTAACAAACGAGACTTTCCAATCGTTCGTGCAATGCATAACTCGTAAAATTCGGTATTATTTTACTAATTTTACTAGTATGATTTTGGTATAATACTTTTTTATAGAAAATATCAAGATGCATTTAATTCGTATATTGAAAAATAATTTCATTTAAAAGAATAAAGTTAGAAGTTGCAAAGTCATTTATAAATTTGAATTTATTTCTTTATGTATTTATCTATTATCTAAAAATTAATAATATAATAATTTTTTTACAATAACCCTTCCTTAAAACTTTCATCTTAAACATTTCTTAATAATAGAAAAAACAAACAAAGTATTTCATAAATTATGTGAGATACCTTATACATATTTCTATAAATCTTTAATTCTTTATAGTTTCTCAATTCCTTAGAATTAAAATGTCCAAAAATGATTAATTCTTGATACATACGGAAAAGAATTAAAAAAAAAAAAAAAAATAAAAAGTATAAATATGTTAAATTCCAGAATTATATTACCTTAATACAAAAACATAAAATTGAATAAAAATTTATAGAAATTCTTGAAAAAATTTCGTGCATCATCTCTTGTCCAATTATATTTTCCAAAATTATTTAAATAAAAAATTTTTTCAGTTTTGCATCAGGAGAATATAATTCGATAACACATCAAATTTTCTCAAATCGATAACTTTCTCGCCTGCGAGAGAAGCGAGAAAAGAATCGAAACGATCTTATTATCACAATTATAAAATCGTCCCACAATTCTTCCATTCTCTGCTTCCTCCAGCTGATAGAAATGGACCTCGTTCGAGGGAACGAGGAGGGAAAACTGGGCCGCGGAATGCGGTACGCCGATATTCCAACGAGTCGCCTATTCCCTCCCTCCCCCCTCCCTCCGCGTCA